TTCTATGCATACATTATTTTTGATAGTTTCCCTTTTTTAAATTATGGCTTCAATCATCAATTCAATACAGCACTTTTCCAAACAAAGAGACCCTGTTCAAATTTCCATCGAAGATATGCTTTAATGTGTTTTTATAATTTAGGGATGTAATTAGCATGCACTTTTTTTGTTTTTGCCGTATGGGATTTAAGGTATTAAACCCATTTCAAGAAAAAGATTGAAAAGTAAAAACCCACAGCGAAAGGCTGGCTCAGTGCGACTGCCCACCATCGCCGGTTGTATTCGTATGTTTTCATCATTACTGTCGCCAGTAGCCGCTCCACCACCAGACAAAACATGAGTCCATTGATATAGTAGTAAGAAAAGTGATAGACCCAGTTTGACACCATCCAAATATGTGGTGGACTGCCGAACATCACCAAGAGGCCAACAATAATTGCAAGTACGCTGCACATATTGTAGCTGAGTAACACCAGAAACAGGAGAAAACTGCAAAATATTGCTGAAAGTTATATTTTGGTAAGATACCACTACGTTGCAGATGACATCGTAGATTGACGCATAGCATTACATTTTTTGATGTACATCGATAAAAAACTTCTATTTATTCCAACAATTGAATGAGCAATAAGATAGTCCCGATAAAAATTACCATTATTCTGATTTCAGCCTTACAAGAGAAGGATAAGTGGCCGCGGCTGCTGCGGATGAGATGTATACTCAAACATTCCTTATCTGCACAACGATTCTTATAAAGAAGTTATGGATCGGCAAACTTCAAAACAGTAGTTTTGTAAGGACTTCGATAAAAACACAAGGAGAGGATGGTGTAGTGAAGAGTGTCCGTCTCTCAGGTAATTTATGCAGGTTCGACTCCTAGTTGGTTTGAAGTGTTGTTTGTAAAATGCTGTTCTTCTACCAAAAAGACGATTTATTACATTATGCTATTTCTAAACTTAACCATTCTTTATTGGCGAAAAAATATTTTCTGAATAGATGCGTACTACGAATATTGAAGAAAATCCTTGAATCTTGGAGCGCGAAATTAAAAATAAATTAGAGATAACAGTTTAAGCATTTGCCTGCTGTGTACAGCAAATTCAAGATCGTGAGCTAAAGCATGTGATGTGGATGAGTCTATAACAAAAGTGAACAGGTTTTGACAAGACAATAATTGCTTCTTACAATTTCAATTGTAATTTCGATAAGGAGGGCCGGTCAACGTTCTGTCCCAAATTAGTGTTGTCGTATCTCCTAGAGGAGTTTGGCTCCTGCGATGTAACGCGCACACCAACAAGAGAAGAACAGAAGCTTGAAAGCTAATTCGCTTTAACACTGCGCGAAGCCATGTATGGTAGCACATATTAAAAGTGAAAAGGGTGGCTCTCTAGAAGATTCTGATTCTGACCCATTATGGTCAGCCGACGACAGCAGTTATTAAAAAACGGTTGATGCAGGAGATCTAATTCGACTCAGCGATGTAGAGGTACCAGTGTAAGGTATGAATGTTTAAAAGTTTCATTCTCACAAATTTCCATTTTCCATTGAGAAAACCTTGTACAGGTGGATAAGGCGATAGAATTCTATCGCTCATCAAAGAAAGGAAGCCGATCTACATCGAAAAGGCGATTGCTTTTAATCAATAAGGATAACAACTTAGGAAATTGATGCGACTTGGAAAAGATTTTCCTTCTGATTTCAAGGAAGACAAAAAATCTTGGGATGTAGGAGAAATGCGCGCGGATCGCCTTATTCGTTTAACACTGGCAAGGAAGTTGAAGGAAACTGTATCCTCAAAGTTTGATATGGGCATCGCTCTCCACGATAGCGATATCGCTAGAGCCTTGAATTATATAGAAATGAACTGCATATTGAAAACTTCCAAGCCAGCCGTATATCGATATCGTCTTCAGACGTGTCACCGCCTTTAGGTGTAGAGGAAATTTTCTGAATAAAGAACATTTGTGTCCGAAGCCCAGTGTGCTCGCAGTGAAAAAAATATGACAACTTAATCGATATAGCTGACGGCAGTACGTCAGTTCGCTTTCGAGAAATGGAGAGTTAGTCGGTCGCATGCAATGTAGATCAAGTTGCATTCTGAAAGAACACTAGCTTTGAAAGGGTTAAAGAAAGTGCAACGAGTACATCGATGTCAGCGACGACGCGCTCTTTCACAG